CCATGAAACCCAGGAATTTTCCAGACTCCACACCAAAGATGCATTTGGCTGGGTTTAACCTCATTCTATTCTGTCTGAGATTGTTGAATGTCTCCTCAAGGTCGGTTAAGTGATCGTCAGCTTTCAAACTCTTTACCATTATATCATCAACATAAACTTCCAGATTCCATCCTATCTGAGCTCGGAATACGATGGTAACCATCTTCTGGTAAGTGGCACCTGCATTCTTTAAGCCGAAGGGCATCATTACATAGCAATAAATCTCATCGCCAGCATAAAACGAGGTTTTTTCTTCATCCTCAAGAGCCATTGGGACCTGGTGGTAGCCTGAGTATGCTTCCAAGAGACTTAATCTCTCATTTCCCGAAGCTGCCTCAACCAGCTTATCAATGTTTGGCATTGGATAACAGTCCTTTGGACATGCATCGTTGAGGTTAGTCTCCTTCAACTGGAATTGGTTGGTTGTTGAACCCGTAGATGGGACCATCATACCGCTGCAACAGAGCTGGATCTAACCCAAGACTCTCAAAACAATGGAAGTACATGATGTCTGGTGCACTCTTGGTGTTAACAAGGACATGCTGCACCTCACAATTGTTGATTGTGACGGAAGTGACTAGAGGATCATTGTGAGGTGTGACAACTGTTTCGAGATCAGCAGATGTGAAAGTGATGGGTTGATTCTTCCACTCAGCATCGTCAAATTTTTGCTTTTGAGCTCGGTTCTGGTGCTTAACCTCTCTAACATACAACTTTCGCTGCTTAGAGCTCAATCCACCTGCTTTTAGACCCCCCGTAATCATGTGTATGACTCTAGCTGGTGGAGGGAGTGGGGGTGGGGCCTGCTGATATCCCACACCTTGCCTGTTTGGGGGATTGCGGACTTCTTAATGCTGTGTCCCTTGTTCCCTGACAAACCGTGGCTGTTCAACTTTCTGGATGTACTCATTCAACATTCCTTTCTGCGCTAGACTTTCCAGCTTGGACCTCAGACTATTGCATTGTTCTGTTGTATGACCGTGATCTTGATGAAAATCACAATACCTGGTATGGTCTCTGGTAACAGTAGCAGTTCTCATTGGACCCGGACACCTTAAGTCCATCTTATTCTTAATCTGCATAAAGATTTGTGACCTCGGTAAATTAAAAGGAGTCCAATTAACTGGAGGTTTACCTGCAGGTTGTTGTGGAGGTGCGGAGTTCGGCTTTCCGAATCTCAGGGTGGAAGTTGACATCGGACTTCGGTTCTGTGTTGTCTTCATCCGTTTCCTGTTCGAATTCTCATCTCTCCAGTCAGGGTGTTGGCTCTTAATAGGAGTTAGGTTCTGCGACAGGGCATATTCCTCAACAGTTATGAATTTCAACGATCTATCATTCACCTCGCTGAAGGTGTTAGCAGGATGTTTGAGTAGACTATCTCTGAATCTCTCATGGCTAAGACCTAAGATCACGGCTGTAATTCCCACAGCTTGGTCAAAAGAGTTAACCTCTAGCACTGCATCATTGAATCTGCTCATAAAATTCTTCAAAGACTCTCCGTCTCTCTGCTTAACTCGCATTAGCTCAGAAGTGGTTTTCCTGATCAACCTTCTACTGGAAAACTTTGTGGCAAAAACAGATGCCATTTCTGTGTAAGAGTTGATTGACCTCGGAGGCAGACTGTAGTACCAGGTTCGAGCATTACCTCGGAGGGTAGAGGGAAAGATTTTGCACATCAACGCATCAGAGGCGTTCTGGGCCTGCATGCAGGAGTAGAAAGCATGTAGATGATCATCGGGGTCCTTCGTCCCATCATAAGTTTCAAGCTGTGGTATTCTGAAGCCAGCGGGATAGGGTTCCAAGATAATATTGGTGTTGAAAGGGTGGGGTATAGAGTCAGCAACAGGGTGTGGAGGTGGAACACCTCGCTGTTCAACCACTAGCTTTTCTAGGCTATCTAGACATCGAGTGACATCATCATGAGGGGGTTGCTGAGCTGGTGCAATGTGAGATTGGCCCTGAGATTCACTAACAGCGGGAGCATGTTGAACTGGTTCAGGATTTTGTGGTGGGGCTGGAGGTTGTGGAGCAGGATTAAGTAGGTTGATGAGTGGATCACTAGGATTATTCCAGGCTAATAGCTGAGCCAGCACTAGCTGAAAAACACCAAACTGCTGTTGCATGGTAGCGAGCTGAGTTGCAACTACGTCTTGGTTAGCAGTAGAAGCTGAGTTGCTAGCTGAGTTGCTAGCCGAATTGTGTGGCTGATTTTCATCTTCTCCTTTTACATGATCAATAGGAGGGAACGTATTTGGGATTGGGGGTGGGGAAT